CTAAACCTAACCATTACCAGCACATACCTAAACCTAACCATTACCAGTACATAGCTAACCCTAAACCTAACCATTACCAGTCATACCTGAACCCTAAACCTAACCATTACCAGTACCATTACCAGTACATACCTTACTCTAAACTTAACCATTACCAGTAAATACCTAACCCTAAACCTATTCATTACCAGTACATACCTAATCCTAAACCTAAAAATTACCAGTACATACCTAACTCTAAACCTAACAATTACCAGTGCATACCTTATCTTAAACCTAACCATTATCACTACATACTTTACCCTAAACCTAACCATTACCAGTACATGCCTAACCCTAAACCTATCCATTACCAGTACATGCCTAATCCTAAACCTAACCAATACCAGTACATACCTAACCTGAAATCTAATCATTACCAATACATACCTTACCCTAAACCTAAGCATTACCAGTACATACCTTACTCTAAACCTAACCATTACCAGTACATACCTAACTCTAAACCTAACCCATTACCAGTACATACCTTACTCTAAACCTAACCATTACTAGTACATACCTTACTCTAAACCTAACCATTACCAGTACATACCTAACTCTAAACCTAACCCATTACTAGTACATACCTAACTCTAAACCTAACCATTACCAGTACATACCTAACTCTAAACCTAACCCATTACCAGTACATACCTTACCCTAAACCTAACCCATCATTGCCACTTGTTGCTCACAGATGCTGACATTCAGGCATCAATTCCTTGTCCAGTCTCACCACAAATTGCTATAAATCTGCTCACGTCTACACAGTCTTGGAGGTTTTCCATAAAACCTGTGTTCTGCCTCAAAGTGGGCCTTCTGTCCAAGGCAAATACAAGATGGCAATGGTCAATTAAATGAAATAAAGTCACAAAACATTCACTATTCACTGCCACAGTTTTAAAAATGCTGAGTCAAGGCCACCATCCTTCAGCCTTTCCGAGCCTGTAATTTGAATCCATTTGGTCTAACTTCATCTGAAATCTATTGTCGACCAACAAACACCGTCTGTACCTCCTAATAGTATTACTGTGTTTGTTTATGTGTTGTCTTTTAATGAATATATATAGTCAGAGTCAGAGATTCTTTATCGTTCACACCATGTGTAGTACATATGGTGGAACAAAATTATGTACACTGGGTCCCAGTTACATCCAACAATAAAATGTAAACGAAAACAGTAATAACATCTAAGATATGAATTAAGAAAAACATCAACTAAAAATACACTAAGCACTAATGACGTAAAAACATTACGTTGAACAGCAACACGAACATGAGTTTGTGTGAACAGATGAGCACGTATGAACACCTCAACTTGAAACAGATCAGCAGCATGATGTGATTCTTCAGTGATTGTTCTGGTTAGAGATTCATGAGTCTAACAGCCTCAGGGTGAAGCTGTTCCTCAGTCTAGTGGTTCTACACTTAATGCTCCTTAACCTTCTTCCTGAGGGGAGTGTGGCAAAAAGTGTGTGTGCTGGGTGAGTGGGGTACTTCATGATGCATGATGGGGAGACTGACTCCAACAGACTTCTGTGCAGCCTTCACCACTCTCTGCAAAGCTTTTCTTTCTGCAGCTGTGCAGCCTCCATATATATTTCATACATTTTATATCATATATTTCCATACATATTTAAAGTGAATGCTGTAGTTGCAAGGTTTAAAAAAATGGTGCATTTGATTCCTGTCAAATAAAAGCTCATGATTGATGTTGCTCTTTGGTCATCCAATGACCTGCAGGCTGCTGTTGTAAGCTTGTATTTGCTTGCTTAGAATCTTGACCAAGTAGGTCCTAAGAACCAAGCTGGAATTGGTTGGGGTCACGCAATGGAAATACTCCAAAGCCATGTCAAATCAAGCTGAGTAGGGCTGAGTCAAGCCCATAGGAAAAAAGGTTTACCGTATCTTTCGGTGTATAAGTTGCTCTGGAGTTTAAGTCGTATCAGTCAAAAAAAGCATAATGAAGAGGAAAAAACATATAAGTTGCTTCGGAGTATAAGTCACTTTTATTATGTGTCACTGCTGACCATGGAAACATGGGCCGGTGTCATGCCAAAAATCCACTGACTGCCAAAAACCCATTGGCAGCTGTGGGAGCGCGCACAGGAAGATTTACTATTGCAGTTCTAAGAAATTTTAACAAGAATAACACTTAAAAACAATTGTTTGTTTGTTCGATATTATATCAAATGTGTGTCTGTTTAACTTTTACATAATAAATGCACTTTAATGGTCACTGTTTGGCGGGGGGGGGGGGGTGTAGCGGTACATGAACAACATATACGCCTACCGATCATTGTCAAAAGCCTAGAGGGCCCTCTCGCTCCTCCAGCGGCTACAATTTGTAATGCCGACTCTGGTTCATGTCAGTATGAATGAACATTTAAGGCATCAGTCAAAAATTTAATTGTGGGAGAAAAAAAAAACGTATATAAGTCACTTCGGTGTATAAGTCGCAGGACTGGCAAATCTATGCAAAAAAACCTGCAACTTGTACGCCAGAAAATATGGTAGTTGTCAGCATCTGAGGAAGTAGCTTAAAACTAAAATCAATAGCAGCATAAGCTCTTTGGTACTCAGTTCAATTTAATTCAGTTTATTTATGTAATGCCAAGTCACAACAGAAGTCTTCTCAAGGCACTGAACAAAACCATTCTTTGACATAAAAAAAAGCCAGTTAGTAAAAGTTTATCTAAGGAAGCCAGCAGATTGCGTTGAACCTTCACTTCGTCACAGTCTCCCATCCTGAGCAATCACAAAAGCAACAGTGGAAAGGAAAAAAACCCTTTTAACAGGAAGAAACCTCCAGCAGAACCAAGTTCAAGACGAGCAGAATATTAGCAGAATACTTGTAAAATAATAGCTAATAGCAGCAAAAGTTTACTGAATTTTAAAAGTAACAAAAGGCTAGCTAAAAGTTCAAAACACTAATTTAAAGCTAAATGTAGTAGGCTAAAAGGCAGGCGAAGTGCAGCAAAATGTTAGCTAACAGCCAAAAGTAACAAAAAGCTAGCTGAATGGTACACAATCTAACTAAAAGCAAAATGGAGCAAAATGTCTTTTAAAATCTAAAAGTAGACGATCAAAAAGTAGCAAAAGACAAACTAAAAGTTTCAAAAGGCTAGCTGGTTAAATGCAAAAAAGCTAACAAGAAGTTAAAAATAGGGTGGAAAAAAAAACTAGCTCAATAGAACAAAAGGCTCTAACAGTAACAAAAGGCTAGTTAAAAGCATGTTAAAAACTAAAATTAGAAAAACATTAGTTAGAAGCTAAAAGTAGAAAATGGCTAGCTAAAAGCAAAACTTATTAGCGGACTAACTAGAAGCTAAAAGTTACAAACTTTTATAGAAAAGTGACAAAAGACTAGCTAAATGCTTAAAGAGGCTAAAAGTAGCAAAATGGTACCTAAAAACTAAAAGTAACAAATAAATTAGGACAGGTATGGACAGGTGCTGAATACGACAGAGCTTTAGGGCCACTCTAAAAAAATAAAATAAAATTACTTTGCCACACTAAGAAAAAAAAAATTAAAAGTCGTAAAATTGCAAGAATAAAGTCGTAGAATTACGAGAATAAAGTCGTACAAGACTTTTTTCTTTTACAGCTCTCGTTTATTTATTTATTTTTTCCTACGAGTCAGATCCATGACGCTACCTATCAGTCAGTCCAGTAGGCGTGTCAGCAAATGACCAATCCGAAGCTAAATGCTCCGATAAGTGAGTCGCTGGGTCTCTTTAGCCTCTTTCTGGCATATTTATGGAAGACCTCTAAGATCTGCGCACACACAGTTTTGCTCGCTGAGCGCCGTTTTCAAACGGAAACAAAAATGAAAGTCATGACGTAATGACGTCACATATACACATCCCGGAAGCAGCATACAAAATAACAACAGCAGGTGGCAGTATTGGATCACGTTTTGAGTAAGAGCGTTAATAACTATAAAATTTAACAAACATTCATCAGTTTAGCACATTTAAAATGTGGTAAAAGTGCTTTATGTGTCGCAGTTCGGATAATATTACAACTCGTTTACTTTCGGATTGGTCATTTGCTGACACGCCTACTAGATTGATTGACAGGTCACGTTGTGGATCCGACTCGTGGAAAAAAAAAAAATTAACAGCTGTAAAAAAAGCAATAATAATTCCGTACAATTTTCTCATAATATTAGAATTTTATTTGACTTTATTCTCGTAATTTTATGGCTTTTTAAAAAAATTCTTAGCGTGGCAATGTAAAAAAATTTTTTTAGCTTGGCCCTAAAGCTCTGTTGTAGCCGAATTATTATTATATATTTTTTTACAAATAAATAATTTTGAAGAAACTAAAGAGTTCTTGCTGTATTTCTGTATAGAAATTGTTCATTTGTAATATTTATTATATAATTTTGTAATAGAAATTGTTGAATAGAACTAAAAAAAATTGATATCTTTTGAAAATAGACACGTTATAAACAAAAGTCAAAGCACCCATCACCTAATAGAGCTAATCATTTTATATTTTGGATGGCTAAAATTATATAAAATATGCAGACATAATTTAATTGTAAATAATATACGAAAAATAAATAGTCAAGAAAACAATAGTGCGAGTGCTGACATAGCGTTTACACTATTGTAGTCTTGGCCTCTCCTCCTGCTCAACTGTCCATTTAAGAGTTGAAAGGAACCGCTGGCTGCTGTCACCAGGGAATTGGGATGCAGCCCAAGAAGGGCAGGGGAAAAAAAGTGTAATTGAAAAGCACAGCAGTCTGGGAAAAACTAAGATAAGAAGGCTAAATAAGGAAGCAGAGAGGTGTAAACAATAAAGATGTACAGATGGATGATGAGGTGGAGATGGCGACAATGAAAAGTGAGACGCTGCAGCCAAATAAAGACTAGGAGAAACAAGTGAGATGACACTAAAATGTGAGCTGAAATGGGGAAAAAAGTGACGGCAGCTATTATTTGCTCTCATGTGACACCATTGCACCACCTTCTTTTAATAAGTTCATATGAACACCAAGTCTTAACAAGGAGAATTTAAACTTTTCGTTAACAAATATAGAGATGTTCTAAACTTTGAAACACTCATTTATAATTGAGTAAAGTCAGTTTTCTGTGTTGGAAGAGGTGAAAAAGTAAATTGCATTTTCAAGGAAACATCTAGTCATCTAATGCAGTGGTTCCCAACACTGGTCCTTGAGGAACACCATCCTACATGTTTTAGTTGTTTCTCTGCTCCAACACACCTGATTCAGTGGTTTAATAACTTCCTTAATTTCAGCAGAAGCTTGATAATCACCCTTTCGTTCAAATCAGGTGTGTTAGAGCAGAGGAACAACTAAAACATGCAAAATGGTGTTCCTCAGGGACATGGGTTGGGACCACTGAAAAGGGCGTTCCACACATCATCAATGTTTTTAAATACGCAACAAAAAAAAACCTGTAATTTCAAACTTGAGTCCACACAGAAATAATGTTTTAGGAGCTTCCAAATTATATGTTTTTGATAACAGGTTTTTGCATGGAAAAGGTTTAACTGCCTGCTATTTAAACCAGACATAGAGAAACATAAACCAGACATAACATATTGTCGAGAGAAGACAGGAAAAGGGAAACTCAGAATAAAGGCAGAAAATAAGTAATAATTAGTAACAAATAAAAGAAAGGCAGAAAAAGATGGCAGATGATAGAAAACAGTTCCAATTAGACCATACTGGAAATTACCGTATTTTTCGGACTATAAGTCACTCCGGAGTCTAAGTAGCTTCAGTCAAAAAAGCATCATGAAGAGGAAAAAAAAAAAAGATTAGTCGCTTAGGAGTATAAGACACATTTATTCTGAAATACAGCTGTCATTTTTAACCCGGGCCCAAAATAACGTGCTGGATGGGCAAGCCGGGTTGGTGTCGGGCTTTTGATTGCGTCAGGGACGCGCGTGGCTGACGATACAATTTGGATCACCAGCTGCGCTGTGGTTGACCGTGCGCTGATCGGCCGGTTGAAAGAGTTAAAAAAAAGTCCAGATGGATGACTGCCAGCGATCCATCCATCCAAGCCCAACTGGACTCAGCCGCTGCATCAGTGGACGCACACGTTTATAATCAGCAGAATAGGATCTTCTTTTTGGTAGCGTTTTACTTCCGTTATGCTTTTCCTCTGTTCTCTGTACTCGCTTAGTGAATGTTTGGTGGGAGGGCGGCGGGGGTTTTAGCGTACAGGAACAACCTATACGTAAGCCTACCGGTAGTTGTCAAAAGCCTAGAGGGCCCTCTTGCTCCTCTAGTGGCTGCAATTGGTAATGTTTACTTTGGTTCATGTCAGTATGAACGAACATTTAAAGCATCAGTCAAAAATTGCATCATGAATATGGAAAAAAAAAACATAAGTCGCAGGACTGGCAAAACTATGAAAAATAAGTGACTTATTGTCCGAAAAATATGGTATTCATACCAGGAAACCACCATCTTAGTTGGATACCTGTAACCAGCATTACCTGCGCAAAGTGTTATTTTTTTCTCCTTTTTTCCAAGATTTTTGTCGACTATCGCTTCTTTAAATTCTGAAGGACAATGTAGACACATTAGTGTATCGTTGAAAAGGTTCAAAGAAGAAAAAACAGTTATTGGGATTGATCCGTACGAGGCAGACAAAGCTGAAATGTGTTTATCACACTTGAAAATTCTCATAGCACTAATAAAGTGCTTGGAGCCAATTCTTGCAGCTTGTTGTTCCTGCTGATGTTGATCATAGCGAGCAACACTCACTGCGGCGCGATGCTAAGTTGCAAAGTTAGTTCGCCTTCATGCTTTCTCAATTTCGGGATGTAATGAAAACTTTGCTTTACTGATTTATCTGCTTTGTTCGTGCGCCCTTTAACCCAACGGTACACGATCATTATCGATCTCTCACACGCATTCACTGAAGTGGAAAGTTGCTTTTGGTTTGTTTATCCTGCTGAGATGGAGGAGCGGAGCCCGAATGTTACGGAGAGCCATTTCATTCAAAATTAAATGAATAAATAAATAGTGTTATTTAAAAATTATTAATAAATATTCCATTAAATAAACAAATGTGCTCATGAAATAAAACATTTAAATAGAAAATGTTTTGTTTTTTTCCAAGATAAAATTTTTATTTATTTCAAGATTTATTTTTATTTAATTCTAGATTTATTTATTTAATAATGGAGTTTCATTTTGTGACGTTTTTATTTTGTAAAGCTACTTTACATATTTCAGGGCATTTTATTTTTTTAACCCCGTTTTTCATTGTAAGCGCCTTTTTAATTTCATGTTCGTATATTCAAATGAGGGGGCGGGGTTTTCTCTGTGGGGCGGGTCTGGTCAGCAGCCCATATACAAGTTTTATAGGCTGGGCAAATCAATAACTAAATCAAAAATAAAATAAACGATAGCCTCTCAAGTCTCACGCATTGACTGTGAGACGCATTTCATGAGGTGCCCACGGCACACTTTGTATTTCTCGCGCTAAAACACACACGCACAAGCCCTTTTTTTTTTTTGGAAGAGGAACCAATGTGCAGCACAACGTTTCCGCACAGGCTGGAGCACAATAGCGGACATGGCTGCAGTGTTGCTGACTTTTTTGTTTATTTAGCGAGTTTCAGACCCCTCTAGCAGCTTTTTTTTTTTTTTTAAGCAACTAACGACATTTAGACTTTTTTTCTGTGTTACTGGAGACTTTGGTGATGAAAGCACGTTTGGGGGCATAAGCCCCTCCCACATCCCCAAGCTCTGACAGCTGTCAGTCTCACAGAGGAGACCTGCTCCACTCCGTGTCCACACTGCATTTGAATCACACCCTGGAATACAAAGCGGGATGTAAATCTAATGTAAATATATAATGCTCAGTTTTATTAGCAAACCTTTGCATTTAATTTCGGAGTTCTCCAATGTTCTCCATATTGTCATCCTGACTTTCTGAACACAGTTAATTCATGATTTGAAGGTAGTTGGACCAAGCAGAGCTCAGCGAGGGGAATACTTTGCTGTGATTGGTCAAAAAAGATTGGAGTACGTCAGTTTTTGCGAAACGGGTGCAATCTGCTAATCCTGCCCAGACCCCGCCCCACAGAGAAAACCCCGCCCCCTCATTTGAATATAAGAACGTGAAATAAAAAGTGCTTAAAATGAAAAACGGAGTTAAAAAAATAAAAGCCCCTGAAATGTGTAAAGTAGCTTTACAATATAAAAGTGTGACAAAATGAAACTCCATTATTAAATAACTAAATAAATAAATCTTGAAATAAATAAAAATAAATCTTGAAATAAAAAAAAAAAATTCTATTTACATTTACCTTATTTACATTTTCATGGCAACATTTATTTAATTAATGGAATATTTATGAATAATTGTTAAATAACACTATTTATTTAATTTTGAATGAAACGGCTCTCCATACAATGTAGCAAGTGTGACATCTGTTGAGAATTATGCATAGAACTGTCATATCAAACTGATAACTCTTAAAGCAGCATGAGTTCTGCAGGTTATCTGAAATTCATTCAGACTTTATGTCCAATATCCTCAGTGTAACCATACGTCCGTCCGTCTTGTGAGCTTGAAATCGTGAAAAATATGTGTGCTCCTTTTTGGCGTGTGGTGGTATCGAAGAGTAAGAAAGATCCCTATTGAAAATTGGAGTGCCACGTCAAAATCCAAAATGGCTGCCATCATTTATTTAACCTTTATTTCTACAGGTTAGTCTCATGGAGTCACGAGGACTCATATTCAAGAGAGACCGGTTTTAGACAAACATATAAAATACAGACTATATTCAACAAAAGCAAAGTCCTTAGCCACATTTTTATTTATGTATTTATTAATTTACTCCAACTCTTAACATTTGTATGGAAACTGAGTTCATTTGGGATTGTTCATGTGACTTTTTTCTCATCTTTCACCTTATTTTGCATCTCTACTTGTCACCTGCGCTTTTACCGACTTCCCGATTTTTTTATTTTTTTTTCCCCTCTCCCCATTTTATTTCTGCTTCCTCTTCTGTGCATTTTGGCTTTTGGGTCTTTTGCACTCTGATTTGTCTTCTTCTGTCGCTTTTTCTGTCTCCTCGTCTGTCTGATCTCATCTATCGGCCCACTCCTCCTCCGCCTTTCTCTTTCCTCTCTGGCTTCTCTGTCTCTGTGTCTCAGATCACGGTGAGTGTGGCTCAGGGCCGTGTGCGGAGCCCCTCCCCTCAGCCTCGCTATAAAAGCTATGCCTACACCCAAGCTGCGTATGTCAAGTCGCCAGATCAAAAGAGGAGACGTTTTACTGATCAGGTCCGTGTCTCGCAGAGCTAACACGCAAACCCTAATGTTTCTGTGCATGTTCTGGCTGAACACCTGTTGCTTTGTCTGGTGTTGCTTTCCTTGTTTTTATGTGTCTTTGACCAAAAAAGTTAAACGGTAAATTTGACTAATTCTTCTCAACCCCTTCTTGGAAACATTTGTGTTCTTACGTGACCTTATACAGACTCTTTCCAAAAAAATTTAATATCACGGAAAAGTTGTTTAACTTCCATAATTCCATTCAAAAAGTTAATCTTTAATAGATGATGGATTCAGGGTCCACAAATTAAATGATTTCAAGTATTTATTTGATTATTTGTACATAATTTGGGCTTCCAGCTCGTGAAACCCACGAAAACAGGATTTCAATAAATTAGAATACCGTGGAGAAATCAGCCCAAATGTTGCAGGGCATGAATGTTTTAAACTGAGTGTGACACTCGAATCATCTACTAAACTCAAAGCCCCTGCACAGGTTTCCCCAGGTGTCGTTAAATTGCTTCAGTTTGGTTCAATTGTCTCAGTTCGTTTCAAGACATAACTGGCCAAAAGACCATCATTGATACCCTCCATAGGATGGGTAAGCCACAAAAGTTCAAAGCTAAGGAGGCTGGCTGTTCATAGAGTGCTGTGTCCAAGCACATCAATAGAAAACCTAGTGGAAGGGCAAAATGTGGCAGGAGAAGATGCACCAGCAAAAGAGATGACCGTGGGCTTCAGCGGATTATCAAACAGAGAAGATTCCAGAATCTGGCAGAGATCCAGAAAGAGTGGAATGAGGCGATAGTCACAGCGTCAAAAACCACCACATTCAGACACATCTGGGAGATGGACTACAACTGTTGGGTTCCTCGGTCCTGTTTTCCGATGAAAGTAAAGTGTGCCATTCATTCGGAAATCAAGATCCAAGGGTTTGGAGGAAGATGGGTGAGGAACAGAACCCATACTGCTTGAGGTCCAGTGTGAAATATCCACAGTCAGTCATGATTTGGGGTGCTTCCTTAAATCCAAGGTCACTGCAACAGTCTACGAGATTGTTTTAGAGGACTTCGTGATTCCTTCTGCTGAGGATCTGTTTGGAGATGTAGATTTTATCTTCCAGCAGGACCAGACCCCTGCCCATGTCGCCAGAAGCATCAAAACCTGGTTTGATGGCCATGCCACAGTGCTTGACTGGCCAGCCAACCTGCCAGACCTAAACCCCATTGAGAATCTATGAGGTATTCTCAAGAGGAAAATGAGGAGCACCAGACCCAACAACAAAGAAGAGCTGACAGCAAGCATCAAGGAAATCTGGGCTTCCATAACTCCCAGTCAATGCCACAGGCTGATTGCCTCAATGCCACGTCGCATCGAGGCAGTGATTAAGGCAAAGGGATTCCCAACCAAGTATTGACATATTGTTTTGAAAGTACCATATTTTGATTGATTTGTTGTGATCCTAATTTCTTTCTTTTTTCTGCAAAAACTGAGTAGTGTGGGCTGATGTCTTCACAGTATTATAATTTTTTGAATTCCTGTTTTCGTGGGTTTCATGAACTGGAAGCCCAAATTATGTAAAAATAAACAAATAAATACTTGAAATAGTTTAAACTGTGGGCCCTGAATCTATCATCTATTAAAGATTAACTTTTTGAATGGAATTATGGAAGTTCAACAACTTTTCCGTGATATTCTAATTTTTTGGAAAGGGTCTGTATTATGTTCAAACTAGGCCTGTCGCAATAAACAATAAATCAATTAATCACATGATAAATGAAAATTACCGACCTCATTTTCATTTATCGTCTTTATCGTTTCTTCGTGTCTCTTTCTACTGAAGACACTGGATGACAAAGTTCAACTCCGGTGCTCTTCACTGACTCCTCCTTTTCTCTTTTCTGTTTAAAATCCATTTTAACTGGCCAAAATTGTGTTTTTGGATCGTAAAAGCAGCTAAGCTGAGAAAATAAGCTACGAGCTAAGTTAACTGGCCGACCTCGGGTAAAAAACCTCCGTCTTGTCAAAGCTCCAAAATTCACGGTTGAAACCCGTGCCTTCGTGTAAAAAGTTTTTCTCTGCAAAAAAGAAGCTGAGAACTTGTTTACTGATATTTTTATTAAAAGCTTTGTGTGAAAAACGCTATGCTAAAGAGCTCAAACCACACAGAGTGAAGAGAGACGGCCAATGTCACATCAAGGGGCCTCCCTCCCATTTTTCTAAAAGATACACAATGCTCGCTCCCTTACTATCATCCTTCTGTTCATACCGCCATCCAGTGGTTGCAAAAAGGTACTACATGCAAAACAAATTAACAAACATTTCTTCTTAAATTTGACAATAATTACTAATTATTGTCAAATTTCAAACAATATTATCGTTTATCGCAATAATTCCTGAGACAATTAATCGCCCAGCAAAATTTGTTATCGTGACAGGCCTAGTTCAAACATTCGTACAACAGCAAGGTCAGAGGTGAGCTATGCAAATCAGCAGAAGTCTACCCCTGAAATTATTCGCTCCATATTATTATTATTATTTTTTTTTTTTTTACCAAAGGAAGTGTTCTGTTCATTCACTTAAAGGGAGCTAGATTTAAAACTTGTACTAGAACCAGTTTTCATGGAAGCTGGTCCTGTTCTGTCTTCAAGGGGTTTATGTTTCTTATTGTATGGACAGGAAGGCAGCGATATTATGGTAAAGTCTAAATCCCTCCGTCTGTAAACCTTCTCTTGTCCCGCTCACAACTTCTGATCTGTTCAAGATAATTTACCAAAACTTAATACACATATACTATGTTGCACACACTTTTTTAATAAAGGTCAAAGTTAATACAAGGTATTTTCTTGCCTAGACCATTGCTATAGATTAGTGTATTGCTGTAAAAAAGTTTGTCGACGGGCGTATAACATGTTGTACAACAGTGTTTTTCAAAGTGGGGCCCACCAGGGGGTGCTAGAGACCCCTCAGAAAGCTGGAGAGAAGATTAAAAATGCAACATTTTTATTTTATTTTAATTTTTTTTAATTACTGTAATAAAATCAAATGTATTTTTCAATAATTATTTTAAAATATATTTTATAATAATATATAGAAATATTTTTCTCCATGCTCATCTCCACTGCTCCACCTGGTGGTGGATGGGTTAAATGCAGAGCCAATTTTGCCATTGTACGGGAACATAAAATGATGACAACACATAACACAATATTATTTCTGATTGGCTGCCATTCAAATATATCGAGCTGCTTTACTCTGCAAGCTAGCATAGCAAGGATGAAATGAAGAAGTTTCTAAAAAGACAGAAAGAACCGACCAGCAACCTTGCTGTGGTGGAAACTGCTGCAAAAACAATCAAAGAACTTGTGGGCAGCTCAAATTCGAAGGTATGAGGTAGGGATGCACGATATTGGATTTTTGGCCGATATCAGATATGCCGATATGTTAAAACTTATTTGGCCGACACCGATATTTTATTTACGTTCCTTTGTCAGAACATAGCTCTTATTTAGGCTTATTTGCTACAAAAATGGTGTAAATTGTATTTATTAGCATTAGTCACCTGCGATGCTGTCTCACTTGTGGAGGCTTGTTCCAGGTTTCTAGCTGCAGTGTGGGATCCACTGCACTCTTGTACATGAAGGACTGCCTTTTTAAGTTCAAAGTTTTTGTCTATACGTTGTGCCGTAAGACTAATCATGCTAACGAGGCTAACACGCCGTCCAAATGTCTGTGGTAAAACTCACCCAAGTGCTATCAGCTATTAGCTTCTCAATGACGTCGGAAATGACAGCTTGTAACTCGGGTAAGGTTACTATGGAAAAACATCTCCGACTGGGGACAATGTAGCGAGGCTCAACGTAGTCCATAAGTCTTGGGAATCGGACATCCTCAAAGAAAAAAAGAAACTTCCACACTGTCAACATTTTTGAAAATTTCTCTCCGCTGTGAGGTCAGGTAGGCGTGCGTGACGTCATCACGTTGTGCTGCCTCTGCAGGCATCCTTGTTACTGGTTTTGTCATACAAAAACAGTGCCTTTTATGTTGGTGAGTTATTTTGATGGAATGGTCAATGTCCAATATTAAACTTTAACGCTAATATTGGCCGATACCATGCCGATAATATCGTGCATCCCTAGTATGTGGAAGTAAGTATGGGCTTACATTAAGTATAGATTTACAGTCATACAGAAAAATGGCCATGATTGCCCGGAATGTGCCCTCTGTCTGGAGACCCTCACAAATGAGTGTTTAAAACCTTTGAAACTTCAGCGACACTTGAGTGAGAATATAATACAGTGTTTAAAACATGTTTGTTAATAAAGTTTTTATGCTCAGCAGTTGTAATAATTCAAACAATCATTGGGATGGTTGGACCATTCTAATTTTTAGGGATATTTTTATTGGAGAGAAGAATATTGTGTCCTTCCCTCATAAAAATCTTTGTTTTGTTACTTCCTCCGTTCTGCTCCCCTCTTTTCTTCTACTCTTCATCTCTCTTCCATATCATTCCTTTTTTTGGTATTATCTTGTACCCTTGTTTTCCCCATTCCTTTTAGTTCCTGACTCCCAGCCAGGAGGAGCTACAACGGGGTCTTAGCCCTCTGCCGCCAGGTTCCATCAGTCTTGAGAGTTACCAGGGTTCACTGGAAGAGGTACAATATGATGTGGAGATGATGAAGTATAAATGCCATGTGTCTGATTATAGCAATGAATCTCATGTATTATGTTTTAACATAACAGGAGACAGAAGTTCTCAAGAGACCAACTATATGAGACCAAATTGCTCTCCACATTGGCCCAACGTGATATATGAGTACTTAGTTTTAGAGATATTTTCTTAAACATTTCTTAGCTACATAGTTTAGAGTAAATATCAAATTATTCTAGAGTCAAATATCTGCCCAACAGTTTACGTTTGGCAGGAACTGGATCCTGAACGTATCATCAATAAGAATTAAACCTCCTCTGCAAAGGGTTAAAAGCAAATGCACCATTTTCTGATTGACTTTTTACTTATCAGGAATCAGTTGGCCTGTGGTCAAGAACAGGATAAAGGAAGTCACAAGAGTAAAGAGACAGACTAGGAACCTGCTGATTTTAAGACTTGATTGGATTTGCTGACTGTAAGAACACGCTATGCCTTTGAGTAAAGAATAATAATGACATTATATCTTTTAAAGGTATTGACATGGCTGCTGTCAGCTGAGGATGGCCTCCACGCCCAGCCTCCCATCTCCAGCCATGTGGAGGAGGTGAAGGAGCAGTTTCACACCCATGAAGTAAGAATTGGCGAAGTGAATTCATACCAGACCAGGGATTTTATGCTTTACTGTAGTTTACTTTTAGTGGTTATTTTGATGTTCTTCCAGTTTTGCATAAAAAAAAAATCTCAACTTGGATAATGGTAAATTTAAAGAAATAGCTGTTCGTGACAGCACAAAATGCCTTATAGCCATATATCCATCTATTCATCCATCCATTAGCTTTACCCGCTTCTTCCTTTCTGGGTCGTGTGGTTCACTGGTGCCCATATACAACAGTCACTGGGCCACAGGTGGGGGACACCCTGGACCGGTCTCCAGTCCATCGCAGGACCACAGAGACAAACGAGACAACCATTCACTCTCTCACTCATGCCTAGGGACAATTTAGAGTTGCCAATCAGCCTAACATGCATGTTTTTAGTCTGTGTAAGGAAACTGGAGCACCTGTAGAAAAGCCACACATGCACAGAGAGAACTAGAAAACCAGAAAGGTCCCCTGCTGGGATTCGATCCAGCAACCTTCTTGCTGAGAGGCAGCAGCTCTACCGACTGCACCACTGTGCTGCCCTGCCTGATGACTAGAAAGACTAAATTATTTTCACTTTATTGCATAAAACTTGGCATTAAAAAAACTGTTGAATTATGCTTTGTCAAAACTCAATATGAAGTAACATTTCAGTTTGGTACATACTACAGCCTGGTATTTGTACAGGGTCAAGTACCTCAAGGTCATCAAGTACCTTTAGCCTACATAAACTGCACCAACTGGATGTTTACCTGGTACATATGGGATACGTGCCCTGTATTTATGGGGGTACATAGCAGGTACTGTACATACGGGTATGCACCCAGTATCTATGGGCTATGTACCTGATCCATACAGGGTTATTTATAGGATACTGACAAAGGTACATGTGGAAACCAGACTGTTTTATTAAGAAACTTGTTACATATTATTTACCAGGTACCAATAGGGTATAAACCAGGTACAAACAGGAGTACATAGAGTATTTACATGATACCTTCTGAGTACGTACCTGATAACTAAAGGGGTACTTGCATAATACTTATGGTGGTACTTGAGATTCCATTGGGTATTCTGGCTGTTTTAATTGGTGATATGTACCCTGTTTCTTACAAGGAAACGACAAGATATGTACCCGGTACCTACAGGTGTACTTTACTACAAAATATTCACAGGGTACCTGAAAACGAGGTTTCTCAAATCCACATGTTCTGCTGATATTCTTCCCCACTGCATTATTTAAAATAGTTTTTAACAGTATTGGCCCTACTATCACAGAACTTTTTAATATTTTACTTTAAGCAGATGTGGTTCCCCGTGTTTTTAAACATGCCGTTGCTGAACCAGTACTTAAAACCCCCAACCTGGATCTAACAGAATTACAACATTTCAGACCAATATCTAAATTACCATTTTTATCTAAGCTATTAAAAAATTGTAGCAAAGCAGTTTTTCACCTTTTTAGATAAATATGACATTTTTGACAAGTTTCAATCTGGTATTCATAAGGCCCACTCCACAGAAACTGCCTTATTGAAAGTCACCAGTGACATTTTGATATCAGCTTATTCAAGGCACTACAGTTTTTGTCTTACTCAACTTTCTTTTGCCGTTGATACTGTTGATCACAAGATCTTAATCAGCAGACTCCACAATCATACTGGGTTAAATGGTTCTGTCCTCAAGGGGTTCTCATCGTACCTGTCTAGCCGAAGTTTTGAGGTCTTTGTAAATAGGATCATGTTGGACACTATTTGGTAATCTTGTGGTGTACCTCAGGGTTCTGTTTTTGGCCCATTTTATTTATTCTGTATATCCTCCCCTTGGACAGGTAATTAGTTTAAAATTGTGCAATATCAGCTTTATGCTGATGAGATCCAGCTCTATTGTTCATTCAAAGAGAGTTTCCTAAACTGAAGTCTTTTAACAAACTGTGTGGCTAACATTAAACAGTGATTAAGTGTGAACTACTTGCAACTGAACTCAGATAAGATTGAAATTCTGATTATTGCCCCTGAAAACAAGTTTTCTCAAATTAAACAGTTCATTAGTGTCCAAGGCATTTCGGTTCAGTCCAGCCTTATAAACTTGGGTGTCATTTTCGAATCTGCGATGTCTTCCAAACATGTAAAACTATTGATTAGAAATTGCCACTTCCGTCTCAGGAGCATCTCAGAATTGAAAAGCTTTCAGTGAAAAACAGAACTTGAGATGGTCATTCATGCTTTTGTTTCTTCCCGTTTAGACTACAGTAACAGTTTATTAACATATTTAAACAAAGAGCTGAACCATCTTCAGGTTGTCCAGAACTCAGCTGCAAGACTGCTAACTCATATGAACAAACAAACTCACATCACACACGCTTTAGCTTCTACTATGAAGCACCTTGTGATGTCAAATTTATGATTTATATATATATATATTTATATAATAAACTTTACTTACTTACCTGGCACCTAGTGGGGTACTTGCTGAATATTTACAAGAATATTTATAGGGTAAATACTTGCTATCTATACGGATACCTACAGGTTAGCTACTGGGACCATGCTGTTTGGTAAAGTGACTCCTTACCCTGTGCTTGCAGGGTGCCTATGTGGTACATACCTTGTAGGTAGCCGGTATATACCTTGTAGTTTCTAGGTAACCTGTAGGTTCCAGGAACCTGCAGGTACTGGTCTGTATTATGCTATTCTGTATTTTGAACAAATTTAGGACGTTAAAAAGACAATAGAGTCAACCATTATACATAAATGTTAATTTCTCCGATTTATAATTCACGTTTATAAATAAAATGAATTGAAAATGAATTGAGTACCAATGTATATTTAAGGGGCTCAGCCTGATTCTCCATATCTTGTGTACAAGTCGTTGTGGCCTTTCTGACATGCAAATACTTGTATTATAGTATATTTGGGTTAAGTTGGGGGTCTATAGTTTACTCTCCAGCCTAATGCTGTAGGGGGTTATAATCTACCTGCTTGTCAACTAATCAAAAGACAAGAACAAGAAAATAGGTTTCGGTGATTTTTTTTCACTGGGAATTTGACACAGTCTTTGTGTTCTTGCAATCCCTGAGTGATAAATTATTTAAATAGCAATTTCGTCACACAGTCCACTTGACCACAAAATCCTGGGCTGTTTGTCCAGGTGTACTTGCTCACCCAGCAGAGTGACCCTAGCATACAGGTAAAAGATAAAATTTTCATCACAAGCTGTTTAGTGAAATGAGGTCTTGCAGGAATACTGGCATCTTGTGTCAATATGCTGCTTTCAGTGAATAAAAAATAAAAATAAAAAAGCACTATATTGCTTTGTGAGAATCTGGAAGGTTGTCTTCAAATTAAATCCCTAGAAAAAGTCAATTAAGCTCTTTATTTGGAGGAGAAAATATACTTTGAGAGCCAGTGAAAAGATAGTCATCTTGTTGTAGTACTTCTCCATTGGATGTTCAGTTAAGCTAAATGAACGCAATTGTTGTGAATTACGTTTGAAATGTTCCCATCTGTTTCCTCATTAGGGGTACATGGTGGAGCTGACCACACACCAGGGCAGTGTGGGTCGTGTCCTCCGGGCAGGTGCTGCTCTGCTGGCAGAGGGAAACCTTAGCGAGGAGGAGGAGTCAGAGGTCAGGGAGCAGATGAACCTCTTGAACTCCCGCTGGGAGCACCTGAGAGTGGCCAGCATGGAGAGACAGAGCAGGTATTTAAACCCTTAACACTTTTTAAAGACACTGAGAAATGATAGCAATACAATTAATTGTGACTAACGTATTTTTCGTTGTATAAGTCACAGGTTTTTTTTGCATAATTTACATGCCCTGCGACTTATAGGCTGAAGCGACGTATTTATGGATTCTTTTTCCGATATTTACGAACCAATTTTTGGCTGAGATATGATTGTTTTCATTCATTCAGACTGAAAAAAAATTGAGCAGTACCACTTTCAGCCACTAGATGGGAGCAGAGTAGTAGTAGCAGTAAGGCATGCTGTTGTATCACGTAGTAAGTAAACGTGGCTATAATGACAAATTCAAAAAAGTTCATGACAAAAACAGCTGGACTTTATTTATTATACTTTATACTTTTTAATTTTTGTCTTAAACTTTTTTGAATTTACCATGTCCTGGATGACTGAGAATCTTCACCAGCTATTAATGACACAATTGACTTGCCGTATACCCCACCTTTGTTCTGCTCGCTGCTTGGAGCTCAGCTTCATTTTGCTGTACCACCCTGACGAAATGCAGCTAATTTGACCATTAAAGTGCATTTATTAAGCAAAAGGTAGACTGAGACACACCATTACTATAATTTCGAGCAAATAAATAATTGTTTTTAAGTGTTAATCTTGTGAAATTCTTGTTAAAGTCCTCCCGTGCACGCTCCCGCAGCCACCATTTGGCAGCCTATCGATTTTTGGCACACCGGCCCACATTTCCAGGTTTGGCCCACATTTCCAGGTTGTCAGCATCGATGCATAATAGATGCCACATATACAGCGAAGCAACATATGTATGGATTTTTCCACTTTATTAGACATATTTGGACTTATGCAACTTATAGGATGGAGCAACGTGTACGGCGGAAACTACGGTACATTACAGTGAAGAAGTGTACTGATCATAACAGGGTCTTTCCACCCAACCTGCAGATTGCAGCTTGTTTTTCTTTCTATAGAAATAGATCATACCACAATTACACTCAAACAGACCTGTTTCAGTTATTTTATTCAAACAGATAAGCTTTCATCAGTTACAAGAACAAAGCAGGCCAAGTCTGCAACAAGCTAAACAAATTGAAGACAATCCTGTGTTTGAATAAAATGGTTCAAGATTGCCATAAAGGGATCTCTGTCAATTGGTTTCTTTGCACTTGAGGCCTCCAAGATGCCAAGGCGTGTACAAGGGTTGAACGTACTTGCCATATGCATCAAGGGTAAAGGGAAGAGCAAAAAGCTTGGGTACAAAGTGACTAGAATCACAGCGGTACGAAATTACCACAACCCTTTAGAAAATCCCCTGCAACAAAGTCAGACAAAATATCCAATCGTTTTACCCTCCACTGATTATTATTCAAAATTAAATTCCCCAAACTGTTTGTCTGAGTGATTTTTTTTTGTTTGGTTTTTCCTTGTTTGTCCAATGTTTTTCATTGTGATTGCTGTCTATAGTTGACCTCCTGTGTATTAACATTTTAGTTCAGCTTTAGTTAAACATGAAAGTTCCCGCAGCCTTTCAACTGAAGCCAAGTGCATCATTCCCTATTGCTAACCAAACAGCTAGCATTGAAAGAGTCATAGAAAATTCAAATGGTCAGCTGCTGGGTGACGTTTTTCAATAAACTCGATCTTTCATTGAGCGATTGTCTTGAAAATGTCACCATTAACAATTATGCAATAATATCATATCCACTAGTTGCCATTTTAAGTGTAGCTGAAGACAGCAGACCTGTTCTCGCTAGGCCTCTTATTTAACTCACCTAGCCCCTTTATAGCATACTCTAATTATGTGGGAAAATCTAAAAAAAACACTCACGGGTTACAACTCCAGATAACACTGGATCCAGTAATGTTTTTTCTGTCAGTGACATGAATACTATTTTTATGCTCTTTCTCAGTTTAGATATAAACAAAACGAACATTGGAGTCATGGAATTTAAGCTTAAACATGGGAGAAGACAAAAGACAAAGAAATGCCAAAAAATGAACAACCATCTGGTGACATTGCCGTCCTTTGGAATGGATTATACTTTAACACATATTTTACAAGAATCTCAGTTGGTACAAATGTATGAAAATACCCATGCTTTGCTTTTAAAATAAGAAACTGAAGAACAAAATTACCATTTCCTAAAAGATTCTCCAATCTGAAAGCTAAACGAAGTGTTGAATTTCCTTCCTTTTTAACCTTTCTAGAAATCAGACTGCTCGTATGACTTCAATTTAGGATACTTTGAGTCATTTAACTCTGTTAGAAATCCTTCAAACCAAACTCTTACCTGAGAGGAGAACATTAGTTGAGTGATTTTGTCCACTGAGGCATTAGTTGGAGCTCTTATAGTTTGGCACTTTAACATTTTGTGAAAGTAAATTGCTTTTGACTTAAGAGGGAAGCATTTTCTGGGCTATAATTTATTCATCTATTTTTCTTTTAGTTAACTTTGGGTCGATACATGTAAGAATGATTCTGCAGGTTTGAGTACAGGTTGCATTAGGAAAGGCATCAGATGTAAAACAATTGCCACATATTTGATGCTAGTTTGTTTGCTGTGATGACCCCTGCTGAATGGGGCAAGCGAGAAGTCCCGGGTTCATATTCCGGACGAGCCCCCAATTGTTACACCTTCCCTTTTTTTGGAGGAAGGGGGGATTAACATGACAGCCACAATAAATTGATAGAGTCCTTGTAAAAGTGAAAGAAGCACAGCTTTATTTTGTGTTCTTCAAGTTTCTAAAAGCTGCTAAAGAGTTGTGGGGGAGAAAAGGACAGTTAAGTCGTGCCAAATCAAAGAAACAAACGAAACAAAACAGGGTCTAACTGACATCTATCCTAGATGGAAAACAATAAAATAAAAATTATCACGATCTTCTTATCTTAAAGAAGAGCTTACCAAAACATTACAAGCGTGGCACCAACCTACTTACCTAGTGTGCCTAATGAAACTCAACTTACGCGTGGAAGTGTACAGGGTACCCCAAACTTGCCTAGTCCTCTAACTCCCACCACAAACCCTTAGAAAAAGAGCACCACTCCAGAGCACCTGTAGATGAACATATGCATGATATATTCATAAATTAAACGGGTTCTTTCATTTTTCTGGACTGTATATAACGTGCATTGAATTTAATAAAATGTATCGTGAGACGTTATTTATCTTTGACCCATCAAAATGAATGTGGTCATTTATTTACAGAATCAAAGTTTAACATCAAACATTTACATCAATTTGGCACATTGAAAAATAACAACATGGCTAATTTAGCAAGCTATACAAGTGATTGATTATCCACACGGCGGTGGATGAGCACTTTACACAGACATTTCTAAAATTATCTGGAATGATTTCTACTTGATAGAAGAATTTAAAGAGGAAAGATGAAGTTTAGTGGGAGAAAAGATGGGTGAGGGGGTTTGTTTATGTCAACCAGAAACAGCACTTTCCGGGTTTCTCAGCTTTTTCCCCGGTACACTTAGGTGGCAGAATTCAACTCTTTTACCTGGAGATGTCCCCAGCGGTACGAAAGTCCATTCAATGCACCCTTTCAGCGTCTCCGTAGGAACAGCTGTGAATCGTCCGAAGTAGTGACGGTATTCCGTTCGACACAAATTCACCTCAGCAAGTGGACTTCACATGAGTGGAGTCCGTCAGAGTTCCACCCAGATGTGGAAGAAAGTTATAATCCCATAAGACTCGGAAGAGCTCTGTGGTCATGTCAGTTTCCCAGCATTGGAACTTCGACCCAACAGGAACTACGACCCAACAGGAACTGTGAGACTCTGTGAGACTCTGGTTTAAACTAGGAAGTACCGACATTTTAAAGAGCTCTATTTCCGGTTCATTTGGGAGTTTTCTTATTGGTCAATGTCGACCAGACAGGGGTGTGTTTTGTGACGTAAAAGGTTACTAGAAGTCAGAAAACAGCAAGAATGTTATGGAACAGATTGAAAATGTTTTTCAGACAGGCGAGAGAAATGTTTGGGCGAGTTTGGGAAAACAGGTGCCAGCTTCTCTGTTTACGTCTGAGAGGATTTAAAACAACACAGCTCGTTCCAACACTTGTCTGCTTAGACTCCGACCTTGGATCAAACTTACACTGCTCATTCAAAGACAGAAAATCAGAAAATGCATAATTACTCTGTAACAGACCTTAACATGAATTCTAACTTTGCATGAGGATTAAAAATAATCATTGTTACTGTTTTACAGTTAATAAAAATTGATTAGTTCACTGTAACATCTAAAATGTTTGAACTAAAACACTTTGATTATCAAACATTTGTAAAACAGTAATGATAATAGAAAAGAGAGTGTTCTTTCACTTGAATTTTCAAGAAAGAAAGTCTCAGGATGGGTGAACCTGTATTTCTGGATTCAAATCAATTAAATGACAGTTTCTGTCCCACAAGGTCAAGTTTTGACATCAGGTCAAGTTCACTACACACCAACACAGGTGTGACAAACACGCATCAGCATGGAGTGGGGGAAAAAAAATGCACAGGAGAGCTTCCTTTGTAGGGCAGTCCTGAGTCCTGATTTTTCCTTTCCAACTCTCCAACCAATTCGAGTTCAAACCTCCATATTGACACCAGCCTGCATTCTGCTAAATAGAAATAAACAAGAGGGGGAAAGTACACAGTCCTCCAGATGTAACAGGGCAGCTAAAAGATGAACAAGTGTAAAAAATATAGCTTGAATACACCATCCAAAATTGATAGAAGTCACACTTAGGAGTTGGAAAACAGTAGAAATGAACTTTCTGCTGGTTCTTGTTGTACAACTCATACCCTGGACACAACATAGTACGCTACATCTTTGTTCAAACTATGATATTAACTGTCATGTCAACTCAGTCCCATTTAAGCTAGCTATTGCAGCTAATACACCTTAGCAAGGACAAAAGATAGCTTTAACATTTTTATAGTTTTACTGACATTGATCTAAAACTTGTCTTGGTAGTAGCAGAGTCATTCACAACTTTTG